ATCGCCTAATTCATTCCGAGGATATTTGAAAGTTACCTGTTTCTAGACTACAGAAAATCCTCTCTCAGAATGAATGTATGTAACTCTGCCCTCATTTAACAAAACGATGTCTCTCAGGACATTTGATCTAAACTACCGGGGTCTTGACCATACACGCCAGACGTTCACAGCAAATGAGTCAGCTGGCAATGTTGATGTTTAGACGTACAAAACGATATGACAAACAGTATACTTTTTCAGCTATTGCAGAATCTGCCGTGGTGATGGAGAGAGCTGTGAAGCTGAAAGGAGACAGTCCAAAACCATTATTGAACTTAATGCACTTGTATGAAATCCAGAGCAAGCATCAAGAGGCCTTTGATTTGGCCCTGTGAGTTGAACTTGAACTTCTCTAAACCTCCATACTATTTCCTAGAACATTATTTATTGTTAAAGACAAGTTATAGATTATGATTTATTGTTGAAAAAAAAATAGGAATATGCAAAATGAATGTACAACTTTGAAATTGTAGTACTGGAAAATATTGATTTGCACTAAACAAACATGGCAAATGTAATTTGTGTCACATTTCAACAGCTGAAATGCAATGCATGGAATGGTAAAAACTTACAGTGGTGAATTGCTATTTATTTTTGTCTTCTCAAAAACAAGGAGCTTTCTGCAGTTCAGAATTCACACAATAGTTGTTTCAGATAATAACCAAACTTTTAAAATAACCGTGTTCAGCCAAACTGCTTTTTTCTGCTTAAAGAATTATGAATATTTTTCAGGCAAACTTTTTCTCCCATTGCTCATGAGAGTTTTCTTGTATCTGGAAATGCAGCCTGCTTTTACTTACATTTGTATTAATATGTATATTATTCATTTCTATATTGGACAGTAGATTTGACTAGCACTATTTGTGTTAATTCCTACTTTCCTGTCATTTTACATTTGCATTGTACACTTACATTTGCATTGTACACTTACATTTGCATTTTCTTTCATATGAAGTATATAAAATGTATTAATTTTCATCGTATTTTTCATTGTATTAACATTTACCCGTACATTTTATTTCTGTATTGAAGTGCATAACGTGTATTTATTTATTTTTGAATTTATATAATAATAATAATGTACTTCGGCAATAAAGAAATAACAATTTCAATGTAAATTCACTTGCAGGAATTTTTTAAAAAATAACCGTGAAATCAGCATTGCTGGAGTAGACTGTTTCAGGTTCATCCCGTTGATGGAGTGCGTAGAGTCAAATATTTATCTAAATGGTAAGTAAAAAATATTGACGAGGCTGGCCTGTCTATTGCTGTGGGTGGAGTCTTTCATGTACTGACGTTTTCAGTGACTGGCCATATATATATTTGGATTTGCATTACACCTGAAGCACTAATTTTCAAGTTGAGAAAACTGAATTCTTCCATTTTGGTCTCGCCAAAATGAACTCCACAATGAACAGGACGTTACATGAGAATTAATGTACAGCATATGACACTGAACTATCTTGCCTTATATCTTTTATTAATTGGTTCGTTACTGAGAGCATACTTATAAAATATTGTTTTAGAGTGTTCAGGCCTATGTATTGGACAAAATGTCAAATTCTAAACCCGGTCTCCTGTCCTCTTTACAGACACCTCTCCAGGGATGGCAGGTATTGTCATTACCATACAGCATCCAAAAGATAGACCGTACACAAACGATGAACTCTATTATCTAGCAATATTATTCACAGTTGTCAAAGTATTATTTATGAAAGGATCGCTCTCTGTTTTACGTGGTATGACGAGATTATTAGGTAAGTTAAGTGGTATACCACTTATTTTTGCACAATTCACTCCATATATGCACTTACCTGTGACTCGTGCATATATGTCGTAAATTGTGCAATATCTTGTGGTATACCCGCCTTCGGCAGGGGGTTATTGCATAAATATACGCATATATAAAATTAGTCAGAAAAAGGTATTGTGTGTTTTCTCAAAATATTACTTGTATACGATACGTCCAGAAAACCATGAATAATTTAGTCCTACATTAGTACTGTGTTCATAATAGGGACTTATGGATTGACTTCCATTCGTATCCAGACATCTCTTACACATGCTTTGACTATCAAGTTCAAACTTTACACGTACACCAGCATTTCTGCCACTCTTGATCATGTATGGGTGGATTTTGTTCAAACTTTGTACATGCATTGGACATTATGGAACCTTGATACACATATTCTGTTTTTCAGAAAAGATTCCAAGTGGCTGACTGGCAGCCATTTTGCTTTAACCAATGCAGTTGTGAATCTATATCTTCGACATATCATGACCATTAATGTCCAAACTATATTCCTTAAACTTGATAATTAATGGGGACTCTGTAATACAATTACATGTTTTTACCTTGCCCGTACCATCAAAGATGGAAGGGAAAGGTATATTAAGGGAAAGATTTTGTCCGGCGTTGTCGTCGTCGTCGTCGTTGTCGTTAATAATTGTTATTGTGTGCATGATAACTTTACTAATTCTATTCCAAACTTCATCAAACTTGGTCACCTTGTTCATCAGTATAAAGTTTTCCCTGAGTTTGAACAACAGATGTCCTGTATGAAAATATCATGCAAAAATTGAGAAAAACTGATAAAATATTTCGACTGTTTCTACTTGACTGATCACTGGTGATACACATCAAAGGTCACTGATCTCAGTGGAAATATGCATTGTTGTATGTGTTCAATGAAGCAAATGATTTATCTTGTAATAATATCCTTGGTAATGTATCTCAGAATCCCTTACTGGGTTTCAAAACCAACTCATGGAGAGATTGCACAGTCTGATACACATT